TTCATCAAGCAGTAATTGTTTCGATTATTCGTCCATTGTTTCAATTTATAAATATCGACACAACTAGTAATATACGTATATCTTGAAGGAATGCTGACTATACAAGGATAGTTGCAAATTGAAAACGTACAACTTTATGATCCCGTCAATTTTTTTCACGCGGCTTTGCTCGAGAGTCGCTCGAATCGGAATTTGTCAATGTTTTGCTCGATTAAAAACGAGGTGTCTAGCGTGTCTTTCTTTCTTCTCATGTCCTTCGTCGAGAAAAGAAACAGAGAACGCGATAGAGCCTCAGACATTCTTAATCTATTTCTGCTTGTAAGAAAGGATATATTCATGCTCATCGATTTCGCGATGTAAATTTATCGCGGTATCTTGTCACTTGCTTGTTCCTCCATATCCATTGCGACTTTTTTGTACGCGCATCGCCGCGAGATCCTTGAGTACAGACTCCCGCATTCAGACACGATGCACTTTTAGAGTCGCGAATGACGCGATAGGACACGCCACTGCAATTGTCGATTGATCGAAACAACATGGAATGTTTTCGAGAGCGACACGACGAGATGAAAGAATAAAATATACAAAGAACACAAAAGCGAATTAATATGAAAAAATTCTATTATTTATATAAGGTAAAATTAAATAAGGTAAAATTTTTAATTAATTTCTTTTTTTGATTTTTTTTTTCAATCAAGTCTTTAATCTTCTAGTTAAATTATACTCGGAAAAGTGATCCTCGTCTGGGGCATTTCTAAAAAGCACGTGTTGCCCTCCTAATAAGTGTTTCTTCACGTCTAGCCCACTACCGTTTCCCACCATAGTTGGCTTATGCTAATGTTACGTGGCAAAGCCGAACGGTGATCGTGGTAAAATGCAAATTATACCCGTGGTATTATTGCACATCTCGGTATTGGCAGTTATACGGGCGCTTATTGGAATTTATATCGCGCCTATTTTTATTCTCAAGCGAGAAAGCATCGTTAAGAACTTTAAGAGTTCACCTCTAACGAGGGGCATTCGATCCCTATTTCTGCTGAATAAGGGTCATCTGTTTTGTTAGAGTGATACGGCTTTTTTACCAGGAAATATATCGATATATTTTATTCTTATTATTTATTATTATTATTCTCTCTTTTAATCGTACAATTCAACAAATTTGAAAATTGACGAAACCAGATTTCTGCGCAATTAAATCTGCAATTTGATAATTTTTAATTAGAAATCACTTCTGCGTGTGATGACTTATGGTTCAACGGACCAACGTGCACCCATGCAATTTTGCACGATCGTTTCACAGTTTAATTTTTACGAGGAGGAAATTAGTATGGGCTGTGGCGAGCGTTAAACGTTCTCGAAGCGATGATGATCGACGGCAATTGACCACAACTCTTATCGTTCTCACAGGATGTTACACGAAGCCATTGTTGTTTAACGAGTATGAGAAATAACTAAAAGATGAGTCCAATTGTCGATAAAATAATGGTCGTTATTTTTTGCCGAAGATATATTCCTCTTTTAATTATCAAAAATTTCCCTCATTAATTAGATATAATAAATGGTTTGGACGCTTATCGGTGTTGCTTATCACGTTGATATGAATAGAATGCATTTATCACTGCTTAATTGATTGAATAAGCATTCAATAGTGGAAGATTCGAATTCCAAGCCGGGTCATTGAAACATTGATACCAGTTCGATTAATGTGAGCGAATAAGGATGCATCGTCGCACGATATAACGATTTCTATGATCTTTAAAATCTCCGTTAATATTGACAAAAACATATCAGGGGATTGCAGCCATAAATTACCCTTGCAATAACTTAATGCAGAAATAATGAGTATACGACATTAACATATTCAACAAATCACTAGTTTCCAGAGAAAGCTAGAAGAAACGGGGAAATCTTCTGCTCGCGATTAATCGAAAAGAAAGATCAAGGGTCAATATTCTTCGTGAGGCAGAGTCTCTTATAATCACTTTCGATTTTCCTTCGCATTCCGATTCGACACGATTTATACGGGAGTTTACGGAGCATAATTAATTAAGCATAAATCACATCGATTGTTGTATAATATGTAAGAAAAATAAATTAATTAGTGATACTTTATGCAAGTCGACAGCCACACTAGTAATATTTTATCATTCTTATTACGATAATCAAGCGTGTGAGTATTTATTAAAAAACATTAAATTTTTAATAAAATCAAATCGTTAATTGCCTGACTCTCCTCGATTTGTTCAACTGTGCAGTTTCGAAGTGACTTATGGTACACCCTATACACGCAGTTATGACATTACGTATTCATTATGTTGGGATAATAATACACCAGTGGTAGGACTCGGCTCGGCAATTGCGACAAAAGCAAGTAATTAATCCGATGTGACTGGCGATAAGTATAATGAGGGAGGAGCGAATTTCGCTATATTTGTTTTTAATTGCATATTTATGATGCAGATGCCTTATGCTGGTCGTACCGCATAATAACGCTTGAATATTACGTGCGGCTGTATGAGCCGTGTTTAAAATTGAATTCGCGCAAAAATAAACGGATTTATTTACTGTACGAGATATAATTATCTAAAAATAATAAAATCTGTCAATAGCGTTTACATTTGAGTATTAAAAAGTATTTTAGTTAATTAATAATTATTGATATTTATTACATCTGTGATTCATAAATTACAAAAATGCATTTATGCTTTAAAAGAATCAATTAATCCGTGCACATCGTGATACGACTGAAATTGGGTTAAGTCATGCCGACTTTCCAAGAATGATGGCGAGATGGAAGTCGATCGCGGGGCCCACCATAATCGCGCGATGAAACGATGTAGCAAAATATCGGGTTGCGAGAGAAGCCACGGTGGTCTTAATCCTTAACCCGTAAACGCGATCGGTTGCACAATCACGACTACCGGTTCGTTAAATGAAGGTTTAAGGCCGAGACTGCACCCTTTGTCGGCACTTGGCCCCTCTTGCGTACTTTTCAATCTCAACGAAAAGTGAAAAAAATTTCTCCCGAAGATATTTTGTTCCGTCGAATTACGGGGAATACGAATCCGAATGTGGAAATTCGAATAAAAAAAGGAAAAATAATAACGATTCTCGCTCTTATAAACTTTTTGCTCGCCCATCGTGCGATCGCCTGAGGTCGTTATTAACGTAGAACGCGCGTTGATTGTGAGCAGGCATTAACGTCGTGTATCGGCGACGACGAGTCACGCATAACGTAACGACTTATAATTTTCCGAGAATAATTTTCCATCGCGTGGCATACGCGCGGTGCGTGTAAGTACAGTTGCCCTGTTAAAGAGAGACGCAATGGACCACCGACCACGACGATGGCGCGTGTCATGTGTCAAATTACCGCAACGCGGCATTCTTGACAACGCGGCCTACGTTCAAAAATCGACGTATGTTGACACACACGCACGCTACAATTGCATTTGTCCATCTTGATTACGTCTCAATGATGATGATGCGAAAGATAAAAAATGTCGTAGGAAAGGAAAATATTATACTTTCTATAACTAAAGTGAGATTTGTTTCTTTTAGTGATAATCGATCTGAATAATATTTTATAAATTACGATTTTATATATTTAATATTTATAAGGGTATATTATTATGAAAATCGTTAGCGATTATCAAGCATATAAAATCTTTTATTACTTTGCGATACAAAATTCATGAGTTCTTATTGCTTATTTAATATGGCTAGATAAAGACAAAAATAATTCAATTAGCCAATAAACGTCGAGATGTTTCATGTTAACTTATTTTCCCTGACACTAATACATCCTATTTTAATGATTATTTCGTAGATAAACAGGATATGCGGGCTTTTAATTCCACGAGATAGCACGCTGTCATTTTCGTTAAAAAAAATGATCATTTTTTATTACGATGCAACGATCGCGTGTAGTAAAGAAATCGTACAACGTTTACCTATCTGACGCCAGAATCGAGAAAGAGTTCATGTACGATTTGCAGCTCGATATCGCGACGCGAGTTCGTAAATCATGCTCGCATATCGTTGGCTCCTCCTGTGATATGCCGCTAATAAATCGTTCGCAATACGGTTTAAACGATTAATGATACTTTCATCCGGCGTGCGCGCGGATAAAGTCTTTCTCTTTACGTCGGTGCATCCATCTCTCGTTGTGTCCGGCGCATCGCGCGCGCGAGAACGCCTCTTTCTCCCGGCGAGATTTATCCGACATGCAGCGAGCCGGCATTTACGAGAGCGTTTATCGTCCAATCGATCCGGGCCGTGCCGTTAATTCGCTTAATACGTATCCCGACAAATTATGCGTCGCGGCAGTTAATACTTATTATACGGATTCGCGTACTTCTATGAGGCACGTTGAATCGCGCGATCGAAAGGGGTGGAGAAAAAATGTCCCGCATAAATTTATACCTATTTTTCGATAATATTTATGGAATTATTAATTCTGCTTTCTCTATTTTTCTATAAATTATTATATAAATTAATATGTTTATAAGATATATCAATCGGGAGATAACTCGGGAGACAATTTTGATTTAATTTTATTTCATTGAATTTGGCTGTATATAAAAATCGCAAAAATATAAAAAAAAACAACACGATAAGAAACTAGCAAATAAGAGCCACCGCGAATGATAATGCGTAAAATTTTTCTTAAATTATTCGCGAAAATTCAAAAGTGCACAAGGCATATACATATACATATTTAATTTACCCCTGTCTCTACAGGGGGATAAAGAGGGGTTTATATAGAATTCAAAAATGAGAATCTATATCTTGGTAAATGCACCAAGTAAAATATATGTATATGCCTTGTGCACTTTTGAATTTTCGCGAATAATTTAAGAAAAATTTTACGCACTACCATCCACGGTGGCTCTTATTTGCTAGTTTCTTATCGTGTTGTTTAATATATATAGAGCCTAATTCTTTGATTTATAAAAAAAACAATGAATGTAATAAAACGAGAGAAAAGATATGCTTACGTAGAAGAATAGCTCGACGCGATGAGATTTGATTGGCATGCAGGTGTACGCTTCCGAGTTACAGCATCCGGTGTCGTCCGAGCACCTGTGCAATATAGCGCAGTGTGGAATGTAGGTGGTTGATGGGTTCGGATAAACGTCACGTACTGGAATGACTCGGGCGCGTGGCCACTGACAGCTGGCTTCCTTGTGAACTTGGTGCGCGTAGTGAATGGCCTTTCGCACTTCGGCTTCTAGGGCAAACATTGGATTGGTGAAGTTAATCTCTTGTTAATGCAATCATTGGAAGAGTAGCGGACGTGTCTAATTTCTCCAAGTCGAATAAGAACGAAAAGTACATGCTATAGCCTCGTTCCCGGCTTGCGCATAACACAATTACGTTTATTTTAGAAAGTCGTGATATGTACACCCGTTCGCGACGACGACATGTGATTTATAATGCGTTTCTCTTGTCGCGATTCTTTTATTCCTGCGCAACTCTTTCGTCAATCTTAGGATTTTAAAAACTTCAAGCTTTTCAATTCACAAGGTTAAATATTATTGCTTTTCATAGATCTTTTAACTAACATTAAAGAAACATTCTGCATGCTGTAAAAAGCCGATATTACCACGGTTCATAACTCATTAATTACTGTTGCATCGTAGTAAACGTTCGTGACAAAACGAGAAGAGACGGGAGCAAATAGGTCAGATTAAAAGAGGAGTCTGTCTCGCGGTAAATCTTCGTTATTTATTCATCAAATTTATCCGACACGTTCAGTTACCAGTAACGTACGGAGAAAGAGAGAAAGAGAGAGAGATAGGAAAAAGAGAGACAAGCATGTGACTATGATCAAGATCGAGATATCAGGCGGGACCGAAAGATCACGGCGGATAGTTTGCTTCGCGAGCTCAGATATATTCAACATTTAAGTGACATAAGTCACGAGAGCTTTCTATTGATTCAACGCGGACATAACTAATCGCTTTCTACACGCGTTTCGCGTATCATCGATAATTACGGCGACGCTGTCACTCCGCATTATTCGTTTGAGCGCGCAGAGAAACCGCATTGTACGGGAAATCGGGAAATTCTAGTACAAATAATAACAGCGGGGAAATGTCAGTGTGGTATGGAAAGAAATTTAAAGACAGTACAAGCCATTTGAGGAAGCGAATGGCGATCCATCACGTGATGATCGCGAGTCACGAGATCGGCTGCTCTGTGATCATCGAAGAGAAAGCACGTTTGTTGTGTCATTTAACATTTTCCATTTTTTGCGATCGGGATTATCTCGAATGAAGAAGCTGAGATAAACCGAATCGTTCATATTTCCAAATTAATATGACATTCTCTAAATTGCGAATTTACGATTGCCCTTATGATTAAACGCAACTCTCAACCATTATGCGTTGATTAACGATGTTAATCGGTTCAAGTTCGCAGACTGCGCGTTTCATGAATACCGCATCGAGGTGCCATGTCGTTTTTAATCGAAAATTATTGCGATGTAGCGAATTCCAACAGTTTATGCACGGCGGCAAATTACCCCTCATCAAAGTGTCGTTTGTCGCGTCGAGCCGCCGATTAATTTATTGATCGTCGTTGAATTGGCCGCGCGTGGAAGGTTACGGTATAATATATCGCGATCCGTATGTGCGAGAATCATTGGCGTTTTTGTTACAAACATTAGAATATAAATAGAAAAAAAATGCTTGTTATAATTAATATAATTCTCGATAGATAAATTATGAAGTTTTTGCCGATTTGAAAAACGATTTTCAACATCGTATCCGCATTCGAGTCCTAAATTATTTTGAGAGAGACTGAAATATACATAAATCGCGGAATTTTGTTCACGCCGATCTAATCTCGAGGGGCGATCTCCCTATGCTAATTCCCGACGTAGGCGTTACTCTCGGGGCTGACACGAGATTATATCGGCGTCTTCACAATAGAGGCACGAGCATCGGAAATTCTGAAGTATGTGCGCATTCTGTATTCAAACTCCGGAATATATTATGAGAGGAAAGGATTAGATTCGGTCGCTTTCACTATTTTATAAGTTTTTCAATAAGAGAAAGAATATCATGTGACATGTATGTACACTATATGTATAAATTTTGTTACTCCCACGTATATTTATCAATAGAGGAAGGAAAACTTGAAAAATTCGATTATCGATGATGTTGGCGCATTTTGTTCTTAGATGTTGTTTTTAATAGAACAAATTAGAACAAATTATTTCAGTTCGTCTTGACGCAATTTTTACAAAATAATTTATCAGATTCACATACACATCGATAATTTATTCTTTTATTTTTCGGCTGATTTACAGTAGTTTTGTACGTACAAACTCATGTCGTCTTTTTCTTTTTTCTTTTTCTCTGACTAGAATTGCACAAGACTCGAGGCAAGACAATATCGACAATTCGCAAAAATATTATACTGGTATTGAAAATTCTGGAAAATTTATAAATCTCGTATTTTAGTCTTGAGTGAATCTTTATAATAAAAAAATCTTGTCTTGATTTTATTAACAATTTTTATCTAATACTGAACAATTGCTAAAAAATAATATTTAACATAATCTTTATATATTCGTAACATATCTTAAGATAATTATTATTATTCATGTCATTCGTTTAATTTGCCAAAACATAATTCGAGACAAAATTGAAGACAATATCAAGACAAGTCATGATATCTCGTGCAACCTTGTCTCTGACTCAGCATGAAAGTATTTGATCAACGGTATCTGATGATTCTGTAGTCAGGATGTAGTAGCATATTCAATGAATAAATCACGCTGAAAATATGCAGGATTATACGAGTTAACGGAATGTGATATTATCCATGACACATTACGCGAATACTTTCCACGAAAAAGCTTTATTTTTTACATTTGCTTATCACGCGCATTGTTTACAAGCATAATTCTCTCTTTGTTAAAAGCATAAGATAATTAAAAACTTTTTTGAGAATTAAAAAAATTATTTTCACTAAAATTTAGATAAAAAATTTAGAGAATATGCACGGAACATAATTTGAAAAAGAGGAAAGAGATTTTCGATGATAATAAATCGATTTTCGATGGAGATATGAATCAAAATGTGTACGCACTCACACATGCAATCATTATTAATTTACATATTAATAATCTACAAATTTTTGTTTGTTTTTTTTGCGTCTCATAGAATTCCCAATATTATGCCATCGAGAGCGTTATCTCGCGATTCAATATTAGAAGAATCATGCAGGAAGAAGCAATCGTGTCATATCGAATGTAATTAATAATGAAAATTATTTGCGAGGATGAAAAAGATTTCAAGAGATTTTGAATATAATAATTATAGAATGTGTATTAATAAAGAAATGAAACTAGACAAACGAAAATGTCAATACAGAACTGCGAAATATGTAGAAATATGAAAATATATTCTCTTCACAAATAATATAAAAATATCATATTTTGATACAGATTTTGATGTCTACTTAAAAGCAACCATGAGAAAAGCAGCATCCTCCTCTCTCTTTCTCTTATTCTGTCGAATACAGATATGAATGGCGATTGCACAATTGCAGCGATGGAGAAGGTGCGATACCTCGATAAATACAGGCGTGTGCTGGGAGTCATATCGCAATCGGAGTAATATAGCACGGGCAAATTTATATTGCGTGTTGCGTGTGGCAGGTAATTATAAAAACGTCCATTACACTAACTAAACAGTCAAGTTGCGTACGGTACATTACGTTGCGATTACAATGTAACATTGTGGATCTCAAGGTACACGATTTTTCGCACCGAATCAGACATGCATATATTATTCGCTCATGATCGCGATTGATTTATGCGCGATTTCAATTTCATAATTGAAAGAGATATACTGTTACATCGTGTCCATCCTGATTGCAAACACAAACATCCGCATGCATCTGCGAGGCAATTTCGCGCAAGGCATTAGATGGGCGGATAAGTGCGACTTGTGAATTTTTGCGCAAACATTTGCGTATGTGCGTGCGCGATGAAAAGTACATGGACAATTACCGTGGTATTCCTGACATTCGAGAAATATAGCTGTGTTATTACGTTGATCGAACATTGCCACCAAGAACGGACCACCAGCGTGGTTTTTAATATCGATTAATAACTATTCGCGGTATCTTCGGTGGGTTGTTAAAATTAATTGAGTCAGATGAAAACATGATGGTGAAAATGCAAAACGACGTTACGCGCGCATTTGCATAAACCGATCACGACGCGAATCGCGATCGCTTACAAACTGCTCTCTTGATACGCGTCCCGATCGCCCGCGCCTTTCATTTATCAATGAAGATACTATTACGAAAGAAAAAATTTGATTCGCACTCGACGACTGAAGTGCGCTCGCTCTTACCATTTTTGGTGTGTTGCTGCATGTTACCCCTGGTTTGTTTGACACTCTCGCGAGTGCCTAGCGACTGCCACTTATGTATGCTGTGTGCAGACATCGGTGGATAGTCGTTTTTTGCTTGGTATTCGTTGTACTGTGCCCCGGTGCCGCTTTCGTAGGCTCTCTGGTCCCTGTAATCGTAGCGTTGATTGATCGACGGTTTCGGCGTCGTAGTCGTCGTGGTCGTCGTGGTCGTGGTCGTGGTGGTCGTCGACGTGGCGAGGGTAGTCTCGTCCTCGTCGCCGTTTTCGTCGTCCGTATAATCCTGCGCAAGTAATATATCGGAAAAATTGAGGAATTGAATAACATAATTTGCAATATTGTATATTATTCGCATACGATATAAACATATGAGAAATGAACGAATATAATAAAGACATATGAGACAATTACAATTAATCTTTCAATTCGTGAAAGAAAAATAAAAACGAAAAACATAACATGTTAACTCTTTGCAATTTTAATTTTTTCATTTGTTACATTCTCGTTCTCATATGTAATAATTAAAAGAAAACTGGAGCAAAATGCGTGATCGACGAGAAAATATGTAACACTATTTGCAGTCGCACTTATTCTCGAGACGATTTCCTTTGATCGTAAGTGATTAACGTGACCGTGAATCCTCGGTAGATTTTTTTCTTCGCGATAAGTTTAACAGGCGAATTTGCATTTCTCTCTTTTTGCGCCGAATGCATCTTTCCTGTTCCTCTTCCTCTCGTGATGGTCGATCCGCGAGTTCAAAGAGAGCAGGGACCTACTTAATCGTCGTCTGCAACATCTGGAGTCTTTGATGTCGAGCCGCTTAGTAGAAACAATCTTCGCGACTGCCTGAGCTGAATCTAGGTAGACTTTCTTCGGGATTGTCTCGTGCTTTCAATTCTACGTGCATTTATTGACAAATACACGGATACGTACACTTATGCGTACTACTATCTGTGGACGTGACAATGATAGAAATGTAAGAAAGAATTAACAACGAATTAAAAACGAATCCGGACTTGCATATATTTATTAAACATAAAATTGCACATATGTTGAAAAAAAATTATAAATATTCCGTCTTCAAAATTTATCATTATATCAAAAGAGAAAGAGAGAAGAGAAAAGTCATTTATATTGTAGTTTAGAGCCGCGAAAAAATTTTAAGTTTGTTATTATAAAGAAGAAAATATTGAATGCCATCTTATTTAGCATTTTACGAGCAATCGTTCTTTACAACTTTTCGGGAATTACATAATAAGAACATTAAAGAATGTAGGAATTGCGAAATGAAATCTGAACGGCAATGAATTAATCAATCTCTCTCTCTTGAATGAGTAGCTAGTAAAGCCTATTACTCGGCCAGAGCGATGAATCGAATGTTGCGCAAACATTTATCGTGTTTATCGCGTTTCGATCGGGCCGCTCCTCTACCATTGATTGAGATGTCGACTTGTACAAGGATTTGTTTCTCTAATGAGGAATAGTTTCTGCGAGCGACGAGAGCTCCTTGCATCTTGCCCTTGAGTTATTGAACTCACATGTGATGCAGGATTTTACAAAAGCTCCTTTTTTTCTGAATCTTTGCACACGTTGTGCAACATGTGGCTTTAACAATTGACGAAAGATCGATTGTTTTGAAATTTTTGGTACATATGTGCACTATGGCATTGAAAATCGATATGTGAAATGGTCCACATATTTATTATACTATGCATATGCATTATATTATACGAGATCAATAATTCTTTAAAATTGGAGATTGCAATTAATGCTTGTTGTAATCAATGTTAATTAATATTTTCTTTCAAAATGATAAGTTGCAGTACATGAAAAAATGTTTACCCTGTGTGTTTTAATTATTTGAAAATCTGACAACGAGAGCAACGTGAAAGCTTGTTGGCGGCTTATTTTAATCCGCCTTTTATGCGAGATCAGAATAAGAAGCTTCGATGAGGAAAGAAAAAAAGTCTCGGAACTCGATTTACCATAAAATATATCCGTGAGACACTTTGATCTTCGCTCGCATAAAGCGGATTAAATCGTCGATAAATTAAAATATATCAGCGGTATATATCCCGATGTGTACGCTATCGTTAACGATCCAAAGGAATAAGGATGAAGAGTCAGCCCGATTTAAAAATGAGTCCAGTCTCCTTCGAATCTCTTTAGATATAACCGGTACCATCTACGTGCAAAAATCAAATTTTTAATTTATAAATCTTTCAATACATCAATATTCATCATCCTCATCGCTTTCTATATTTCCTTAATATTTATATAGTACCACTATATTTATAGTACCACTATATTTTAAGTATTTTGTTTATTTATCTAATAAATCTAAATAAATTTATCTAATTAATATATATTGAATCGCGCGCAATTGCAGATGTACCCGTGAAAGCATCAATTCGCAAGAGCGAAGAATCGCGATCGTTGGTAACGACCGTTACTCTGCATTAAAGTACACGAATCGCATTTATGGTACGATAAAGATAACCTTGGCAGGACGTTAGGCACTTGTTATACGTACAGAGCGTATACTATCACCGTCAATGATTCTCGGAATCGAGTGCCTGGATTTTACGAGCGACCCGGGGGGATCAAGGGTCGCCGACGTTTGATTGCCGCCGAGAGAATTCGTCTGTCCGCGTGCTGCATGTCCGCGACTTAACGAGGTTGTGAAAATTCACGATAAAAATCTGGGGTCATCGGCACCGTTTTTTAGTTTATTCTATTTTCAGACAAACTCGTGCTCAAGGATCTTGCTCGCAACGACGTAACTGATAACCAATGTCATTCGCCTATTGTAAACTAGACCACATATGACTCTGTGTGTGATAACGTAGGAAAATTTTTCTCCATTTCTTTTTCTCTCCGCGTCGTATCGACGAGTAATTGTTCTACTTACGCGACTGATAATTGAATTTTGTGCAATCAATGTTTCACGCTTTGTTGCCCCCGAAACCTTAATATCTTCTTAATTAATGATGCTTCTCCGATTATCTCGTTCTCGGAATATTGAATAATTTCATCACTTTTCGAATTTTTATGTTATATTTGTTTCTATATTATTAGTAAAATATAATTCTTGAGAAGATATATATATATAAAATTTTTTCATGCGTGGAGCGAGATATAAAAAAGAAGCTTATTCGCAGACATAATCGTACGATGTTGCTCTTATTGAAATAAAAACATGATGTGAGATTTGACGTGAATCTCATCATGTTTACGCGGATGATGCGATATTCCAGAGTGAAAGAGATCGACACGTTTTAATGTACGTTGTGAAAAATTTAAATATAAAAATATTCAACATATTTTACGAGTTAGCGTTTTATCGACGACGCTTTCGACACTCTACGTAATTTTACGAAGCTACTCGCGGTGGAATACACATACACCAATATGTTGTAAAAATTTTCACGCGGTCGTATATCAAGTAATGCGGTAGCATCGCTCGCAAAGTCAAGTATGTCCATAAAAAGTGACTGGTCGTGCGATTATATTTACGTTATATCTTCTAGATACCACTAGTAAATAATTTATCCGGAATTTTTATACGATAGAGCGATAGAAAATATGCTAGAAAGAGAAAAAGCGCCTACGCACGCAAACGCGATAACATCATATTTCGCGTGCATATATCGAGAAAAAGGCGAAAGGACCGGTAAATTCACATAATTCGCTATCTCTCGCATTATTCATTACGTGTTAATTGAGTGCCGGCTGAGCACAATTGCAAAGATAATTAGATAACATATGTAGTATATATAAAGTTTTCGACCGTGGTAAAGCGGGTTCACCTCTTGCATCGAAGCTGTTAAATACTGGCGGCAAAAAAGGAAAAAGAAAAACCGACCGAACGGAACGCTGGTATTTCCAGCCGGTTCACGTACGACGAATGTGGTTAGAAATTAGACCGAGCAAGGAATGTCTAGAAGTGTAAAAACGATGAAGCCCAAGGAGAGAGGGTGTAAGCGAGAGAAGGCGGTTCTCTCAAGGGGCGCCCTGAAAAACGTAGCTCGCGGCTGCACGTCGAATATTAACAAGTATTAGCGCATAATTCCGTGCACCTCCTGTTATTAAATGTAAGGGTTCTCTCGCCCACGACGTGGACCACCCAAAAATCTTATGGTGATCCGCGACATCGCGATAATTTCCCTCACGGAGACGCGGTTTAGAGTTTGCCTCGCTCCGTATCTTCGGATTTACATAATTTTCGCCCGCGCTTCGCGATCGATGCGATAAATCAGTACACGTCAAGATTTTGGGGAGAAAAGTCAGAGAGTTTGTAAGCGCGAGGTAGTTATAAATAATTGCGTTTTGTGTGAATTTTCGTAATCGCTTGTAATGTAATGCAGAACAATTTCACTTCAAATATTATTATACGTGCATAGAATTATTATTTTATAATTATTATATTATATTATAATTATTATATTACAATTATTATATTACATTATTATACGTTAATAGAATCATTTATCTTATAGTTTAGCCTTGTGGCGATAATTATACAATGTTGCATAGCCGCCGATGAACGAGTTTCCAGCGCTCTCGTGCTTCTTTTTCTTTTTCTAGTGTGCTTCCAAGAGAGTGTAACGTGCCCACGGCGTGTATATCCGATTGAATTAATATTCGTGCATCAGATAGGGCGCTGGAAGACAATACAGTGAGACTTGAGGCATATCGATCATATTTTAGATAGCCAATCTCCGCGCTAAATAAATAAATAAACAAAGCAAATGATAAACCGACCACCCATCGAGCTAAAGGGCGGTTACATTGACATATTATGGGTTCGTCCGGCAGATATTTCGTCCCGTTTGTATTGACAAAGTGTCCCATCTTCTTTCTGCATTAGAGTTATAATTCAAATGTGCGACAAGAAAATTTGAACTGCGATTAAATTATATTTTTTACCAACTTCATTTATATGTGAAGATAAAAAAAATGCTGATGCATATGAATTTAAAATGTCATCAATTACTTTTAAATATCTTTATATAATTAAACTCGATGATATTCCAATATTATGACATATCGTGGAGTTAAAACAAAATTTTAATATCTTTTATAGCAGATACATTATAATTGCGATAACGTCGACCAATTCTATTGTTTCCGTGCTACTACTCTTGAACGTAACAAAAATGCAGAACAAAGTGTCCTATAGGAGTCATGGCACGCCAATGTTATGTGATCGCCATACAAAATGCAGTCTCGATCGTTCCGAGAAAGGAATCGAGCTGCTGCCAGGCTGTCTGCTACCGCGAG